GCTACCGGTACATAGAAAAACACCAGAGAAACCGCTTGGAGGCTTTGGGCGTTGGTGCCAAATTAATTTATATTGAGATTCTTTATATGATTCCATGTATAACAAATGTCATATTACCATAAAATGTTATAACTCAATATTTGGGACGGATAACGAATCATGGATAACTTTATTTCAATTGGTATTTTGGCAGGCCCTGCATTCTTTTTGTCAAAGACTCAAAAAAAACCAAAACATGCAAGTTCTACCCATTTAGAAGTCCGCATTATGTACAAACTGAAACATATGTGGTGCACATCCCAGCACAAGTGCAAATCTTGTCATACATCTTCAAACCAATAGTTTTGTAATCCTACTTTGTGGCAAAAGCTGAGGCCAGTTTTAGGCCTGTTATTTCAGAGCCAGTCCTTTTAAAGAAAGAAAAAAAACATTTTGGGTGTTTTTGCCAAAAAAGGACCTCACATACAATGTTATTTCCCATTAGAGAAGCTTTGATGTACTTCAACTTCGTCCAAAGTGAAGAAACTTGGATGCTGGATTCTCCCTACACTGCAACCAGCAGCACAACAACAAACGTCTCTGTATGGTCACAAAGTCAAAACAGCTGCCCCGCACTTTAAAACAGCCTGAACAGACTGAACTGATGCGGAGGTCTTTTGCAATTCAGGGTGGACTAAAGTCCTCGCCAGCATCAATGTGCTGCAGCAGAAAGGTACAGGTCCTTCTGTCTCTCATACTACTTCTAACTTAATCAGAGGAAAATACTCCAGGCATTGTCCAGCATTGTAAGAATGACATTGATTAAGTAAGTTCATGGGACTTTCACGCAGGCAACAGCTGTTGAAATGGAAGTTGACTTATTTTAAACGTACTTAACTGACATACTTATTTTGCATAACAAATGTACTTATTTGAACCCAAACCATGTTCTTTTCCTAAGCATAACCAAGTCCTTTGGAGGTTTATTTTGAAAATAGACTGCATGCATGTATTGAACAGAAACTGTACGTTTCCTGGGAACACAGAAGTTTATTTTAAAAAGACACTATGTCTGGAACAAGCAGAAACTGAGTATTCCTGAGTCCAAAATGAACCCAGAACGTCAAGTTGGGTCATAGTTGGAATGCGAATGTGTTGGATTAAGATACAGTATTGAGGTCCAGAAGACCTTATGTTGAAAACTAGAACTTACTCGGCTAACAGTAGCCGCAAACACTCTAAGGCAGACATGAAAGTGCATATTATATATAAAAGGCATTTTTACTCTCAAAGACTGCTCAAGCGGCATAACTAGATTAGTTGTAAACTCAGCTATTTTTTTTTTAACAGTGCAATGTCATGCATTTCTCGTGGACAAAATGGGGCTTTAGGCAACAAACAAGTGGAGTCAGATAAATTCATCCTCTGCTTCGGTTTTGCAGTGACGAATTGCACCTCCCGGGCGAGCGGTGTGCCTGTGAGTTTGTTTTGAAGCAATTAATGGAGAGGCTGGAGTCTGTTTTTCCAATGAGTTCGTGACACAATATCTGTGCCATCCTTTACGGGGCCCAGAACAAGCAAGTGATTAGCTGTGGAGCTGGCTGGAACATTGTGAGGAAATTACCCTCGCATGGAGCTGAAGGGAGAGTAAAGACCTCGTGTAAGAAAGTAGCCCCCATTAGTTTAATGAGGATGGCTAAAGAGCACCATGGAAACTCACATTGTCTTATTTAGAGTGCAACAGAATCGGTAAACTGGAAAAGTTCAGCATGACAGAAACAGTCCACCGAGTGGAATATTCCTGTGCCACAGTTCCTGCGTGTCTTGCCCAGTACCAATGCTAATTTCCATGAAAACACTGCCATAAGCTCCGTGGTAGATACAGTTAGATACAGGAGCTGTAAGACTGCTTATCTGATTGGAATATCATTCACACAACTCTGTATCAACCAACAAAGTGATAACAAAGAGGCATCAGCAGGTTATTTTAGCAGTAACGACTTCATCGGTACTCCAGACTGCAGCAGTTCCTGTTTGCGTCACAAAGAAATAGCTTCTTTCAATACGCCTGATCGTGATCAACTCTTTCCAAAAACTGTAAACTTTGATGTTGGACCAAAGCACCATTCTGATGCCCCGAAAGATTGACTTTGTGGCCAGATAAGAACTTTGTTTGAACTTTAAGTCTTCAGTAAACAATATATCGATGCACTGCAGGCCCCAAGATGTTCTCTCAACCACAGAAAGTCATGCTGGAGCATCCACCGCTTTTTCATCTTCCCTGTTTATCACTCTGACAGCGCAAATTAGGGGATGGGACAAACATTTGTTTTCTTGGGCTGTGGAACACAGTGGTAATGGTGAGCTCTTTAAAGGGCGAAGGAAGAACGTTCTAAAATTCCAAAAAACGTAAACTGAAAGGTCATGTTTGCCGTTAAAGTGATATTTCAGTGCTGTTTGGAAAAGAAATCTCCCCTACATTTCACTATACATTTGCACAGAGGTTCCACTGACGGTACACTTTCCATTTCTTTACTCCCACAAGGAAGAAGCATGAGCTTATTGACGGTAAAGCTGCATTACCACCCCGGCAAAGTGGGTAACTGCCCCGGAGCCACAAAGGCCCCAGCTTTAATACGGCTATTTGTTTGTGGTAATGGTAATTAAGTTTAGAAATACAGGAATGCGTACCACTTATGCACACCATCAGCTGACTGATGATGAGGGCCTGTAGGTTGGTAATGATGAGGCTCAGACACTCACTGAGTCCCTGTGTGTGGAAATCTAGTTTCAAGATGACAGTGCGCTCAAATGACCACAAAGTTAACCTGTTTTATTACAGAAGAGAAATACTTTACATAATGAGCAGTGAGGCAGACATACAGGTAGTAAACAGGGACCCAGACAATTATTGTGTCCGTGTAGCCAACTAGGTTAACCGAGCCATGCAGTGACATACTGAATAACGAAGCAATAAATATGATTTTCTTTTTTTAAACATCATTTCCCAGGACTTTTCCAGGACATTTTCAGTGATGATCTAATGGTGCGAGAGACAGGAATAGTCGCTGCAAACGAATATGTTCTTCTCTGTGGAAGTGTCATTTACATACACTCCCCTTTCAACTCCGTTTTGGTCTCCGCCATCTCCCGACAAAAAGATGTGCCACGATATTCACTAACGAGATGCTGACTTTGTCTGTCTGCTGTCTGGTAGTTATAGTAGTTATATGATTGACTCTATATCTTTACCACATGATGATCTTCCTTTTTCTTTCATTTTGTGCTTTCAATGAGTTGGAAAATCGGTGAACTGTTTTCCAGGTTTTACAGAAAGTGTTGAAATCCTGCTCGTACCTCCAAAGACATGATAAAAACAATGAGTGAAATCAGGGACATTAGCTGACTCACAGCAGGATGTCAAGTGAGGATGCATTCAGGTTGATCCGGGGGTTATTCCACCGTGCATGCTATGCAGCACAGTGAACTTCAGTTTGACCGTATAATATTCTGTGACCAAATAAAATGTACAGATATATGTACAGGAGCCACACAGCCGTCACTAATGCCTGCTTTGATTCTCCACCCGTAAAATGGAGAAGTGTGGATATATTTAAGATAAGATAATCTTATCTTAAATATATCCACACTCCTCCCTCTGTGTTTTACTCAGAAACATTCCAGAAACGTGCATCTCCACGGCTGGAATGGACAAAAATCCTGTTGCACTTTAGCAGCATCCAGTGTGATTTAGAATGCCCTCTGATCATGGGTTACATCTTTATACGCTGTTGTTTCAGCAATCCATGACATATATACTGTATCCCTTGCAATACAAGAGGGGAGGAAGAGGCAGAGTCATAGTTTATCTGTCCCTATAGATATAAATGAATAAATAAATATAAGTAAACCTTGGAAATACTGACTGAAATAAGTTATGTTACCGTGCCAGTTCTTTTAAAGAACACAAACGGCTATAAAGAACATTACTGCTGCACCTATATCTCATCTCCCTCTGTAATAGCACTGCTCTCGTCCCATCTGAATATGCTGCTTTGATTAAGGATGTTCACCGCTCCAAATAATACACTTCATTCTTTCATTAAGCCACAACAAACTCTGGTCCTCGCAGGGCACTGTAACAGTCTCCATTATGGATTTGGTTCATTACTGCTAAAATAAACTGCCCCTTGTTATTCCAGCTCCCATTCATATAAGTCCGTCTGTTATGGATGACAGAGCTACCACACACACACACACACACACACACACACACACACACACACACACACTCCTCCTGTGGCTGTTTATATGATTTCCTCCTTTTAGTGAAAACACAAGGGAAAACAGCAGAATAAACAAAAAACTAATCCTCATGGATTAAAGTGTGCAAACAGTTAAAACCCTTTGAAATCACTTAAACACACAGTTGACTGTTTCATGCTGTCATGTGGCTAATTTGTCCACTATGACAAATTGCAAGACTCCCTTCTCTGAAAGCAATTACTGTAGTACATCAGATAAAACTGCATTACATTAATTGAGTATGACATATTTTATGAAATCTGTCTAATACACAAACTAAATACTTCATTTCCACATCACCATTATTACTGGTGACCGCCATCTTGTGGAGGCCTTAAAAACTACAACAGAATTAGGGCCATAACAAATGAAGTGATGTGTGAATCTGGGCCTGCATGTACGAGATTTCTTCCGGTTGGTTTAATAGACTAGATAAAACTAATTAGGCTCATACTGCCACACGGTACTGACAAATTGGCGGGTTTATGGTTTGAGCTAAATCCAATCCAAGAGAATGATGGTCCCTGATAGTGGGTCTAGAATGAATATATCTGATTCTCATTCTGATTCTGATTTATGACTTCTTTTTTTTCACTAACCATTACTAAAACTGGCATCCCTGGTCGCCTGGCAACATTAGCCAATTTACAATTGTTGGTCCTCAATCATCATCAATGGCCAAAACTCTGGATGTGGGCCGCTCTGGGCCGACGTACCTGTCTCAACTTTGGAGTGGTCGGTCCTCTCCGTCACCTTCTCCTGGCTAATGAGGTAATCGACAATCCGCACGCCGATTGGCGGCTCGGTGTGGTTCCACTCCATGATGACCAATGAGCTGCTGGGCTCGTAGGTGTACGACAGCTTCAGTCTGGCAACAGAGAGACAGAGATGCTGTCAGCGAGCCGGTCTCAACCGGCGGCTAACATTATTCACGGTTAACTGCGTCACAGTGAAAAGACATTCTGCAAAGTCACAAAACACGTCCGGCCAACAGGAAATACAGCCGATTTTCCCCCTGATGACGGACTTACTCAGGAGCAGTGACCTGCAGCTATGTAGCGTCTGGACCCATGTGTACATGCCAACCAGTCAATGCAGCTAATCCTTTCATTGATAAGCACTCCCATGCGATAGTGGACACATTTTAAGACCCCCACCCCAACCATTCAGCAATACACCCATGGCTGTAATATTTGGCGGCAATTAAAACCGGTGTACACGTGCATCCTGATGGCTTGAGACCATCGCGGCATGAGATGGAGGTCTGCCAGTTAAACGACGGATGGTACCAGTTTGCAGAAAGGTCCTTTTTCTGAAGTTACTAACATAGGCTGGGGAAGAGGGGCGCAGGTGGGCAGTCCGTCGGCGCCGAAGGCACTGGAATCACACCGACACCAGTCATCGATGACGTCACCTTTCCCTGAACACCACAGCATGCTCATCATCGCCTCCTGTAGAGACTACGGAGAGAGAGAGAGAGAGAGAGAGAGAGAGAGAGAGAGAGAGAGAGAGAGACAGAGAGGGAAAACAAAAGTCAAACCTAAACTCAAAGCACATGTCATATTGGTACAGGCAATATTCAAATGTGAATACATACATACAATATTACAGGCGCCAAGTAATGTCCTAATGCAAACGAACAAAAGTTATGTTTCCATGTTACTCAATCAAGCTCGAACAAATGTGGTGAGTATGTTTCCTCCCTCATTTCGGTATTTAAAAATGCAGCATTGTTGATGGAGGCGGCATGGCTCAGGAGGTAGAGCAGTTGCCTAGCGATCACTAGGCTCCTGGTTGAGACTCTGGACCCCTAACCGCTCCTGATGAGCCGGTTGGCATCTCGCGCTGCTGCCTCTGCCATCACTGTGGGTGCATATTGGCATGTGTTGAGTGATCGGTAGACTGGAAAAGCTCTAAATAAATGCAGTCCATTTACCATTTATATCTATGTTCACCAGCTCGCAGTCTGTCTCGCCCTCCCTGTCTTTGTTGGTGCATTGCAGCATATGTTGGCCCGTAGATCAGTGGAATGGAAAGAAAACATTGGCGCGGGTATTGTGTTGTGCACATGACATACAAACAATAGAAGTAGCTCCATAGCGCTACTAGAGGTCTAAAGCGCCACAGGATGTCCCTCAGGCTATGTTCACGAAAGTGGCCCAAATGTGATTTTGCGCATAATTGACACACAACAGTGTGAACAGCACACATCACATGAAATCTGATCTTTGCAATTCTGATATGGGCCACTTTCATATGTGGTCCTAAATCAGATCCAGGTATTGAGACTTTTATGTCACTCACTGGATGGAAACTTGTCACAATTCAGCGCTGTGAGGCCATTCGCGTCACGACCCCATCGCTCTGGCTCCGCATCCACGCACACCTCCGTACAGAAGGAGCAGCAACTGCTCCACAAAATGCCATAAAAAAGGTCATCTGCTGTAGAATTCCCAGGCTTCCACATCAACTTATGAAGGGTAAACGCTGACTTCATGTGGCCTTCATGTTCACTTCCATACGGCAGTGTGTGATGCACCAACGTTAAAAACCAAAACCTTCTTCACTTCCCTGCATCACGTCCGGGAACCGGATAAGTGTTTCTTCATGTGTTAAGAAAATTCTCCTGCTCCTTAAAGCTGCTATATATCAGATTGTGACCATTTCTACTGCCTCCAAACAGCTCTCAACATGGGGTGACGGCTGAGCCGGCAGCTTGCAGCTAACAGTGCTAACAGTGAAAACTACGGCAAAGCTGCTGACAAAGCTCACAAAAATTGTCACAGTCACACCAAATTCTTATGAGTTCATCTTTGAGTCCGAGTGGACGTCTGTGCCAAATTTGGAAACATTCCCTCAATGCGTTTCTGAGATATCACATTCACTGCACGGTCGCAAGCGCGGAGGCATTAAAAAGCTCAGTTCATCAGAGATGGATATATATAGCTTGAAATTACTGTATATGTAATATCAATACAACATGTTGCCTGTGCATGGTGTCTATAGAGTCTATGTATAGCAAGCTCCACACAGGCTCTGTCGACCACAGCGTCTGTAACCGTCTGCCCTGAGCTTCGGGATGAAAGGAGCGTGGACCTTTCCTCCTCCTGCTGGAGGAAAGAAGCTGTAACCACGTACAGTATCGAAGCAGTCACATAAGTCACAGCGCGGTACGGCAGATTGAGACCGGATACTCCAAAATGAAAACACGTTTTTCAGCCCTGACGGATCGTACACGTACAGTCACAAACCTTCCATGGCAGGACGCCAGTTAATAGACTGTCTGAGGTTGGACTTGCTGGAAAGAGCTTATATTCTACTCTCATTGATCTTTCACAGGAAAGCTAGAATCCAGTACAGGAGGGAAGATGCAGCCACCAATCATGATCGTGTCCCGGGAAATGGTGCAATGGATTCCGGATGAAATTGCTGTTTTTCAGACATTAGACAGTCCCAGATGGTTGAGGACAAACACGGCTAACACACCTGGTAGGTCTCGTTGTTGGACACCAGCTCGTAGATGGGCGCGGCCTTGGTGATCTGCAGCAGGACAGGCTCGGACCGCTGCCGCCCCTGCACCACCCTGGGGCTCATGTGGCAGAGGTGGCAGGAGCGCGGGCACTGGCCCTGGCTGTTGCAGTCCATGCGGACACCGGCCGCCATGCGCTTGGAACCCGTGTCCAGCAGACTGGCGATGTAGGCGGGGTAGGTCAGCGTTCTGGGCTCCTTGTCGCGCTCCTCCGACTCCTCCGAGGGCGAGTTACCTGACAGAGTGGAAGAAGGGAAAATAAATTCTTTAAATAATATTTCCAGACAAGATTAGGAAGCGCTTTGCAAAAGACACCGCAAAAATACAAAGCAATAATATGTATCATAGGCAAATATATATATTTATATTTCCCTTTGTCTCAGTGTCTAAGTGACTAATGGGGACAACAAATTCTGACATTGGTCCAGCATTGAAGCTGCAGATGTCATCCACTAGACGGGCTGCAATGAAATCATGTCGTCAATGAACATCCGATCAAAGTTTGTATGTGTCCAACAACATTATGGAGAGGAGCCTACAGATACATAAATACATGTCCATGCCTCATGCAGAACTTTGACGCTATTTCTCTTTTTTAAAAGGGGGAATTTTTCAGATGAGCATTTTAGGAGACTGCTTGGCTGTGAAAAAACCCAAAAGGCAATTTAAAAGCTCAGGTACCTATTAGGGAAAAGGCTTGTTGTGCGAGCTGCCTTTGATGGAACACAACTCAGGTTTATGATCAACGGGTGAGAGCACCAGCTATGGGACCAAAACATGTGCACAGCATAATAGGAACAATTCCTGTGCTTTAATGTTGAGTTTTTGTTTCACAACTTCACAAAGCAAGTGATCTTTTGCACTTTCCTTTTCTGTGTGTTCAATGTAACAGCAGTCTGTATTTGAAGCACGCTACTGTTTCCTTTGTGTATGTTTTGTAAGAAGAGGAGAGATCTAAATAAAGCTTTTTCTTCTTATGTAAACTGGGATAAACATACAAAAATCCTCACACGTAATACCTCAAAACTAACTCCATGTCTCATCCACCCACATTCACACCCCACCTATTCTATCCACAGTGAGTGTTTTACCTACAGCCTGGGGAACTGAAGCAGTTAGCTATGCTCTCTTCAAAGCCACTAGACTCCATTGACAAAAAACGTGACTTTACGAGAGCTGCTGGTTAACCGCTGTTTGTTTCTTTGTGTTATTGTGCGACTTTGGTGTTGAAGGGTTAGTTTGAATTCACCAAAGTCTCACAATACCAATAAGTCTCACAATAAGAAATACAGTGTTTGTCAGTGGAGACTGGTGACTTCTGTTCCCCTATCGGAAAGGGCTTTCTGACGGCAAGGTAAAGAGGTGAGAATATTCTCAATATAGCGTGCACTTAAACTACTGGAGGTAATACACTGACTATAGATAACTAGCTCATAACCCCACTTAAAACAATCCAAACTAACCACTTAAGAATTTAGGAGAAACAACAAAGCAGGCAAACATAAAACCAGAAACACAGAACGTCTCCATGATTGTCAGAATAATTATACATGGAGGTGTACACATGATGGGCGATCCATCAATAGTTTAGACAGCCCCTCCTCCTGCACCCATGGTACACACATTTATGTATGTGTCTGTGTGTGTGTACCTGAGTGGGTGACTTGTCATTAAAAAGAGATTAAGAATCTAAGTGCTCCAATAACATAATGCAGTGTTTGCTTTTTTTTTACATGCGTGGGTTACTAATTAATGCCTTGTTGATTACACCTCATCTCTGAAGTACACACACTTCATTTTGTCTGACACTAAAGGTTTCCCAAGTAACGCTGTGATCAACTAGTTACAGAGAGTTTAATTCAGCCGGATAAAGAGCGACAGAGTTTCTGTAACGTCAAGAAAAAGAAGCGCTGAAGAAAATACAGTAGAGCTCTTCAGAAGTTGAACTTAAAAAGGTTTATAATAACAAAGTCAGTGAGATATTTCATGAGAGTCAGGAGGTAGTAAAAAAAAGAAAACCGTGCTTTGTGTATGTCAACCATCAAAAATACAAAGTACAAGGTGAAATCACTCAAAGCCACGATGTGCAGTTTTTTTATTTAGACTATCTTTCAAATCGTTATGATGGTGTACTTTTTGGTTGAAACATTTGAAAATGCAAGCCCATTCACCTTAAAGCCTTAAAACAAAACGAAAGAAAAGGAGACCCTGAGCACATTTGGCGCTCCTGGAACGCTCTCCATAAAGCATCAAATAACACAAAGGGAATAACAGAAATGAAGCCAAGATAACAGTGGGTAAGAAATCAGCAACACAAACCCCTGGTTCATACGACAGAGAGACCATGGTGCGCCTGGGCCCTTTATTTAAGTGGCAATCAGCCAGGTGGTGCACATAACAGCAATTATCTAACATTCTAAACAAAGACAAATGACACCGAACACGGGGTAGCAGGTCAGGTGTAATGAATGACCAAATGAATAGCTGCATTTGTGAGTCTCTCTCTGCATGCCAGCGCGTCTCGTCCATGGCCTTGATGACTCTAGCGTGCGGCTTTGAGAAGCCCTCGTGTTTGGGTCACCGAGACAAATGAGCAGAGAAGCCCTCACCAATCAGAGGAACGTGAAGGTAAATAAGGTCAGATTATTTACCAGGGGGGGGGGGGGGGTTCGTGGGTTGGACTAAATCAATGGAAAAACAGAGAACATGTAGGAAGAAAGAAAACTATCCAGAGCCCAGCCGCGTCATGTGGTAGCCAGGCCTGAAGACGGCTGATGGCTAAACATACATGCGTATTATCACACTGATAATTTAGGGGCTCAGTATATAGATGGATGTACTCCATAATCAAGACTTTAATTCACTTTCAAACCAAAAGTTGGGCTTATAAGTATTAACAGTCTTGCTAAATCATACACTGAGGGGTTGTGTTAGGAGAAACTAGAACCCAAAACTTGCTAGTTAGATGTTTTTGCCGTTATGAACAACTACTACGGTGACCGTGGCTCACTGGCTTAAGGGGGTTGTCTGGTAACCGCAGGGTCAACGGTTTGATCCTCGACTGGGATGTGTTGTAGTGTCCCTGAGCAAGACACTGAACCCCCGGCTCCCCGGGGGTTCCCTGCTGTCATTGGCAGCCCACTGTTCCCTATATACCGGGATGGATCAAATGCAGAAGTCAAATTTTGTGTATATGACAATAAAAAGGGTTTCTATTCTACTTTACCTACATTGATTACTATTTGATGAATATATCCCTCAGTTGATGAGCTAAACATCGCAAAACCGAAAATGCGGGAAACAGCGAGTGAGTGCTGAAAATATCAGACACTTTTTACAGGAGTCAAGGGGAAGTGTGTTGCTTGATTTGCAGTCAGTAATCTGTTGTGGTGATAAAAGAGGATAATGCTAGAAGACTAAACATCAGCACTAACATCAGTAGTAATGCACATGGGCTTCTCTGTGTGTAGAATCAGGTTTTCTTGCAGTGTGACTGGTAGAAAGTCTCCCAAAATAAAAAAAATGGCTACCATGTGAAATCAATTTAACAGGAGAAAGTGAACAAAAGGACATCAAATGCACATAAATCTTGTTGTACATGAAAGTAAAAAGCTGGACGTGATGCGTTCACGGACACGGGCACATGATGGCAGAAGATAATGTGCTGTGTATGGATGTCTCCATTCCAACTACTCATCTCCCCAAGGTGAACTATTCATTGTTGCTGCGTGGTAAGAATGTTGTTCTCTCTAATACTCGATCTCTATTTCTCTGTCGCACAAAAGCAGAACCAGAGAGCACCATCTTTTCTTTGAACTTCGCTGAACAGCGTTCAGCCTTTTGTCATTCTGACCCTTTCTTTGTCTCTCTTTCCAGGCCTCTCTCTCTCTCTCTCTCTCTCTCTCTCTCTCTCTCTCTCTCTCTCTCACCCAGTGAAAAGCTCAATCACACCTATTTTCACAATATGCAAATACATGTGTGGTAAATGTGAGGGGGGAAAGCAGTGTAATATTCCTTCTCTGCATCTCCATACTAAAAACAAGAAAACCAATCTCTCCCTCACACACACACACACACACACACACACACCCCGGCTGCTTTTACATCCTTCCCAGAACTCCCTTTTACTCCCATTCTCATTTTCCCTTTTTATTCTTCCGTCAGTCTTTGGCTCTCTAAAAGTCTACAAGGTAGAATTTGCAAAAGCATCTAAGCATCTAAACTGCCGTCAAATTCAACCCATGCACACAAGCGCACCTGCTTTTAGGGGAGCCTAATGACGAGCAGCATGCAGCTTTGAATAGAATAAATCTATGCTCTGTGAGCCCATGTGTGTGTGTGTGTGTGTGTGTGTGAGCGTGTGATGCCTTTATGCTTGTGTGGACATATTTCGGTTACAGAAGTGCTGAAAGTGATTGAGGTTGGCCCCGTTAAGAGGTACATTTGTGCTTGGATCTTGGGTTCAGCATTGAAGCTATCTCAGGGTTTGTATGTAGGTTCAGACAGAAGCTTCACTAATCAAGATCTTTTTTTATCAACGTTTGTTTGTAGATTATGTATAACGCAAAAAGTGTTACTTGAAGTGGTGAATTTAACCTGTGCACTCCACTCAGCCTTATGCAACATTACTGCGCTCTAACTCCGTTCTCATCAACCGCGTGTTCTGCAGAAGACGTCAGATGTTTTTCAGAAGCCGGTGGAGACAAAAAATGAGCTAAAAGGAGAGTCTCAGAAGAGCCGCTCCAAATGAACACTAATATTGCAGGATGTATAAATAGCTGCTTACACATGAGCCATAGCAATTGTTGTTCGTAAGAAATAAATAAATCAAAATAAATTAGGATTAAGTTTATAGTTTGGATTCAGAACTTGGTTAAAATTGTGTAGAATGTCAGAGTTAGGGTGACGTCAGTGGTTAGTTGTGTTATGGTCATTTTGTAACTAATACATGGATATTACAGTCTCTTTACAGGTGATGGGAGCACGACTGTATATAGGTGGAAAAGTTATACAGTATGAAAAGCTCTTGTAGCTCCAGAAGGAGCTGCGTTAAGCTGGATTAATGACATCAAGTGATGTCACTTGTGTCAGCGTTGGCTCTGACTGAAGAATAAAAATGTGATGATCTGGAATTGTGGAGTTAGAAGGAAGCGAGCTCACCGTCTCTTCCTCTCTGCTTGACGCTAGTGGCTCGAGGCTACATTAGCCGCGACTAGCATAGCAGCTAGCTGTCGG